TCAAGCGATTCTCCTGCCTTAACCTCCTGAGGAGCTGGGACTGTAGACATGTGCTGCCACGCCTGGCTAATTTTTTTATTTTTTTAGTAGAGACGGGGTTTTACCATATTGGCCAGGCTGGTCTCGAACTCCTGATCTCGTGATCTGCCCACCTCAGCCTCCCAAAGTGCTGGGATTACAGGAGTGAGCCACTGGTCCCGGCCCCTATGTCTGCTTTTTAGTAGGTCTCCTATATTAGTGACAGATCGTCCTGGACTGTTGGGCTCTTGGATGAGTGGTCACATAAGGGGTGTTCGTCAGGGCCCCCATGGTCTTGGCGTAAACTTGTGCAGCTCTGATGATGGGATATGCTTGTTTCCTAGGCCAAGATCAAGCAAAAACTGCGGGAAATTGAAGAAAATCAGAAGCGGATTGAGAAATTGGAGGAATACATCACCACAAGCAAGTATGTAGCTCTGCAACTGTCCCCCTTACTTCTAGGCCTGTTCTTGTGACCCTGCCTGTCCTGCCCGTCTTCACACAGGACCCCCAGAGCTCTCTGAGCCAGGAGTGTTTTCTCACCAGCAGGAATAATTCCTATGTGCCCTCACTTTGTAGGCAGTCTCTAGAAGAGCAGAAAAAGCTAGAGGGGGAGCTGACAGAGGAGGTGGAGATGGCCAAGCGGCGTATTGATGAAATCAATAAGGAGCTGAACCAGGTGATGGAGCAGCTAGGGGATGCTCGCATCGACCGCCAGGAGAGCAGCCGCCAGCAGCGAAAGGCAGAGATAATGGAGAGCATCAAGCGCCTTTACCCCGGCTCTGTGGTAAGAGCGGAAAGGGAACTCATTTCCTGAGCACTTAGACTCACTGTCACATGATTTTCCCAGCAGCCCTCTGAGGACAGGGTTGCCAGTCCCATTTTTATTGTTGTAGGAATTGAGGGTTGGAGAGGTTTTAAAAAGCAGCACTTCTAAGTGGAAGAACTGCAGTTCAGACCCAACATGTTCTAAGCTCATGTTCATTTTTTTTTAAATTTTTCAAATGAGTGCCTGTCATACTAGGCACTCATGTTCTTCTCATCATACCAATTGCATCTTTCTGAAGGGTTTGTCTTGCTGTGTCCATGCCTCTGGGAGGGGAATTGGAAAACCAGGGAAGATTTTGGAAGCAGATGGGGCCACAGGGCTGGAATTACTCTCCCAGGAAGTAGCTCTGCGCAGTCTTCTATATGTGCTCCCTTGGCATGTACTAACCAGCCCAGTAGCTTTTAGGGACACCCTGAGCTTTATCAGATCTCTTGATCTTTTGGCCTCTTTCACCAAATCCTGAGTTCCCAGGTTCCCTGAATATTATGCCATACTTGGGTTCAATTTAGTTGGGTTCCACAAAACTCTTCTAGGCACTGCTGGGGAGATAAGTATGAATTAGAGTCAGTCTCTGCCCTCTTATCTGATAGTTCTTAGGGAACCAGGCTTGGCTTTGGAGGCTGCAGGAAAGGAACTGGTAAAAAAATATTATTTTGAGAGGGAGTCTCGCTCTGTCACCCAGACTGGAGTGCAGTGGCGCAATCTTGGCTCACTGCACACTCCACGTCCCAGATTCAAGTGATTCCTCTGCCTCAGCCTCCCAAGTAGCTGGGATTACAGGCGCCCACCACCATGCCCAGATAATTTTTTTGTATTTTTAGTAGAGATGAGGTTTCTCCATGTTGGCCAGGCTGGTCTTGAACTCCTGACCTCAAGTGATCCGCCTGCCTTGACCTCCCAAAGTGCTAGGATTACAGGTGTGAGCCGCCACACTAGGCCAGATTTATTTTGCTAAGGGCCTAAGAGAATTTGAAATAATAAATATAAGATATTTGGCATAGTGCCTGGGTGGCAGCAGTCTGTAAAATGGTAAATGTGAGGTTTAGAAAGATGATTTTGGATTCAGACACGACTGTCTGAAGTCATTGCTTGGGAGCCAGAATAGGCTTTTCCTTTATAGCATGGGGGCTGTGTTCTTCTGTGAGACAGGAAAAAACCAAAGTGTTTTTTCTACTCTCACACAACCAGCACAACACTTCACTTCTGACACCAGAAGTGTGGGGGTTTTTCCTCACACACCAGCAATTCTCCAGCAGACACCAGCTGGGTGACCTATAATTCAGTTCAGCTCTAACACTATTTATCTAGAGATAGCATCAGATCCCACAGGTTAGGGCTCAGTCCAACACTTCAGATGCCAGTTGCAAGTCTCACGTTGTGACTTGTGGTTCTGACTGACCTGTAAATTACAGTTCCCGAGAGTCCCTGCCTGGGTTCAATTAATTTACTCGAGCAGCTCACAGAACTCAGGAAAATGTTTTACTTACAGTTACCCATTTATTATGAAGGATATTACAAAGGATACAGAGAACAGCCAGAGGGATGCATAAGGCAAGGTATGGGAGAAGAGGTGTGAAGCTTCCATGCCCAATCTGGCAAGCCACCCTCTAGGTACCTTCACACAAGGGCTTCATTATGTATTCATGATTGATCAAATCATCAGCCAACAGTGATCAGTTCAATGTTCAGGCCCCTCTCCCCTCCTGAAGGTTGTGGGGGTGGAGCTAAGAGTCTCAAATCTAATCATGCCTTGGTCTTTCTGGTAACCAGCCCCTATCTAGAAGCTGTCTATTGGCCTCCAGCCATAATTGTCTCATTAACATGCAAAGGACACTGCTCATTTTTGAGATTCTAAGGGTTTTAGTTGTGTGTCAGGAACTCTGGCGTGGAAGACTAAATATGTATTTCATAATATCACAGTCCAACCTGGTCTTCAAACACAGATCCCTTGCATCAGAACAATCATGTAATGTAGAAAGAGGCCGGGAGCAGTGGCTCATGCCTGTAATCCTAGCAGTTTGGGAGGCCAAGGTGGGTGGATCACCTGAGGTCAGGAGTTCGAGACCAGCCTGCCAACATGGTCAAACCCTTGTCTCTACTAAAAACACAAATATTAGCTGGACATGGTGGTAGGCGCCTGTAATCCCAGCTATTCGGGAGTCTGAGGCAGGAGAATCGCTTGAACCCAGGAGGCAGAGGTTGCAGTGAGCCGAGATTGTACCACTGCACTCCAGCCTGGGTGACAGAGTGAGACTCTGTCTCAAAAAAAAAAAAAAAAAAGGTAGAAAGATACTGGCATGTTAATAGAATCGCGTTCAGTTATTAATAATTAGTCCATGATATCATATGAATATGTCTCCTAGGGCAAGGCCATTCAGGTTTGCAGGCTTCTATTCAATCTCATTAGGTTCCAAAACCAGGAGTGTTCTCAGCAAACATAGCTTCACACTCAACAGGCATCTGGGATAACTGTGCTAAGAGACAATATCATCTCTTGCTCTGAACCTCTTTTGAGGTGTTAATGTAATATTGAGTTTCCCTCATTACATAACTCTCATTTCTTTACCTCCCTTCTCTTACCCAAACTTTTCCACCTTTGGAAGGGACATTAGGATTGGCCACTGTGCTGGTCTAGAGTGCACGCAGCCATCTAGTCTGCAATTGCCTATTCCTCAGTCCATACAGTCCCATTCAGATAGGGTAGGGTTACGTAGGTACAGAACTAATGGTCTGTTTTGTTGTTGTTGTTGTTGTTTTCTTGAGACGGAGTTTCGTTCTTGTTGCCTAGGCTGGAGTGCCATGGCACAATCTTGGCTCGCTGCAACCTCCGCCTCCTGGGTTCAAGCGATTCTTCTGCCTCAGCCACCTGAGTAGCTGGGCTTACAGGGGTGTGACACCACACCTGGCTAATTTTTTTTTTTTTTTTGTATTTTTAGTTGAGACGGGGTTTCACCATGTTGGCCAGGCTGATCTTGAATTCCTGACCTCAGGTGAGCCGTCTGCCTGAGCCTCCCAAAGTGCTGGGATTACAGGCGTGAGCTACTGCGCCCAGCCTTTATTTTTGTTTGTTTTGAGACAGAGTCTCATTATGTTGTCCAGGCTGGTCTTTAACTTCTGGGCTTAAGCAGTCCTCCCACTGCAACCTCCCAAGTAGCTAGGATTATTACAAACACACACCACCATGCTCGGTATTAGGTTATCTTTACCACTAGGCAATACAGTTGCATTTACTTTGTGATTTAGATTTTAGTCTATCCCCCTTTCCACACTGGGAATTAGGATTCCTGAGCCAGCTCCCAAAAGCCTCATGCTTCAGTTTTCCCTTCCTACTTTACTCAGTATGGCCGACTCATCGACCTATGCCAGCCCACACAAAAGAAGTATCAGATTGCTGTAACCAAGGTTTTGGGCAAGAACATGGATGCCATTATTGTGGACTCAGAGAAGACAGGCCGGGACTGTATTCAGTATATCAAGGAGCAGCGTGGGGAGCCTGAGACCTTCTTGCCTCTTGACTACCTGGAGGTGAGGCTTATTGGGGATTGGGTCAGGCCAGTGTTCAAGGGCCCTTCCTCTAGTACTCCATGTTTGTGTTCTGCCACTGACTGAGCTTCTCCCCACAGGTGAAGCCTACAGATGAGAAACTCCGGGAGCTGAAGGGGGCCAAGCTAGTGATTGATGTGATTCGCTATGAGCCACCTCACATAAAAAAGGCCTTGCAGTATGCCTGTGGCAATGCCCTTGTCTGTGACAATGTAGAGGATGCCCGCCGCATTGCCTTTGGAGGCCACCAGCGCCACAAGGTGTGGATTCCCTTGCCCAGGTTGGAGCCGGACAGGCTTAACACTGGAGATTAATTTGTTCAGCTTCTCCCCCTCTTCTCTCTTCCCCCTGCTGTGTTTAGACAGTAGCACTGGATGGAACCCTGTTCCAGAAGTCAGGGGTGATCTCTGGTGGGGCCAGTGACCTGAAGGCCAAGGCGCGCCGCTGGGATGAGAAAGCAGTTGACAAGTTGAAAGAGAAGAAGGAGCGCTTGACAGAGGAGCTGAAAGTAAGTCACAGGCAGTGCTGTTTTTAGCAGTGGGGGTCCTAAGCCTGGGTCGGCCACCACCTTACCACCTAGCCCTTCTTTCTTTTTCACTTCAGGAGCAGATGAAGGCAAAACGGAAAGAGGCAGAGCTGCGTCAGGTGCAGTCTCAGGCCCATGGACTGCAGATGCGTCTCAAGTACTCCCAGAGTGACCTAGAACAGACCAAGACACGACATCTAGCCCTGAATCTGCAGGTGGGGCCTGGCCTTCAGCCCTGTTCTCCAAAGGCCATCCACACATTCCTGGCCTGTGTTTCTCTGGGGGTGGGCAACTTGTTTCACTTTGCTGTCTCCTCTCAGTCTGCCCCAGGGAGCCAAGTGTAGCATAGAGTCAGACAGCCAGGGGTTTAGAGCTTGGCTCTACCTTGGGTATGACATTAGACAAATAATTTCACCTCTCAGTGTCAACTTTCACATCTTTATCTGTGAATTGGGAGTTAATACCACTCAGCTGGGTGCGGTGGCTCATGCCTGTAATCCCAGCACTTTGGGAGGCTGAGACAGGTGGATCACCTGAGGTCAGGAGTTGGAGACCAGCCTGGCCAACATAGTGAAACCTTATCTTTACTAACAATACAAAAAATTAGCCGAGCATGGTGGCAGGTGCCTGTAATCCCAGCTACTTGGGAGGCTGAGGCAGGAAAATTGCTGGAACCCAGGAGGTGGAGGTTGCAGTGAGCCGAAATTGTGCCACTGTGTTCCAGCCTGGGTGACAGAGCGAGACTGTCTCAAAATAAAAAAATAAATGATACCTACTTTATAGGGTCATTATTGAATGAGTTAACATGTAAAGTGCTTAAGACTACTATGTGTTCAGTTTATGTTAGGTGGTATTGTTGGCATAATTTGCTCATTCAACAAATTTGAATTTTTGAGAGTGAGCTATGGGCATTTCAGTCCCTGCCTGTGTTTTTGGTGGGGGGAGGGAGGACACTGTTCTAGGTATATTAATGGTTTTGTTTTTTTTTATTGAGTACTTCCCCAGACCACCCTAGAGGTGTTATATGCAGTGTGTGTATGTATATATCATTTAATCTCCTTTTTCTAAACTCAAAAAATCTAAACTGAATTCCGAAACAACTCTGGCCCCAGGGATTATAGAGCAAAGTATGGGACCTATACCTAATGATGTTTACTGTGTGCCCAGCCCTGTGGATTGAAGCTGGCTGAACTGGATGCCAGGGAAGAAGCCATGTGATGGCTCCAGTGCAACATCATGAAGACTTGACTAGAGCAGTAGTGCTAAGCCAGGTTCTCTCAATTGTGGAGGGCTATCCCTTCCTGACTGTGGGGCCAATGCAGTCAAGGTAGCTTTTCCTACAAGGAGCCTGGTCTGCTTTGTCCTCTCAACCCATTGCCTGTAGGAGAAATCCAAGCTGGAGAGTGAGCTAGCCAACTTTGGGCCTCGCATTAATGATATCAAGAGGATCATTCAGAGCCGAGAAAGAGAAATGAAAGACTTGAAGGAGAAGATGAACCAGGTTGGTAGGGTGTGGGCCATGCCGGCGTGTGTGTCAGGGCAGGACTGGGACTGGAAGCAGGCCAGACTAAAAGGCCCGGTGCCCTCCCTGGCTTCTCTTCTCAGGTAGAGGATGAGGTGTTTGAAGAGTTTTGTCGGGAGATTGGTGTACGCAACATCCGGGAGTTTGAGGAAGAGAAGGTGAAACGGCAGAATGAAATCGCCAAAAAGCGGTAGGTGGGAGGATTGGTAGAAGAGATTGGGATGCCCTTGAGCCTCTCGCCTGACATCCTTGGAAAACCAGATGCTGTCATAAGGCAAGAATCAGTTCTTAGAACTATGTGAGTTTATGCAGGTAGGCCTTAAAGAACAGAAATCAGGAGGGCAATATGGCATAGTATAGTGGTTAAGAGTGCCAGCTCTCCCACTTATATGTATTTTATTAAAATTTATAAGCAAGAAATTATATATAAGTGGTTATGACCTAGGAAGACAAAGAATCTCTCTTAAGAAAGAGAAGTGATGGCAATATAAATAAAAATACTGTTTATATTCATATGATTTTAAGAAAACTGTAAAAGCAAAGACTTTGTAGTAATGACACAAACATGAAAAATAGATGTTTTCATAAAATTGGCTGTCAATATAATTATGTTTCTGCCAGCCGGGCACGGTGGCTCACGCCTGTAATCCCAGCACTTTGGGAGGCCAAGGCGGGTGGATCACGAGGTCAAGAGATTGAGACCATCCTGGTCAACAAGGTGAAACCCCGTCTCTACTAAAAATACAAAAATTAGCTGGGCATGGTGGCGCGTGCCTGTAGTCCCAGCTACTCAGGAGGCTGAGGCAGGAGAATTGCCTGAACCCAGGAGGCGGAGGTTGCGGTGAGCCGAGATCGCGCCATTGCACTCCAGCCTGGGTAACAAGAGCGAAACTCCGTCTCAAAAAAAAAAAAAAAAAAATTATGTTTCTGCCTATGATGTTGAGCAAGTTCTATCAGTATGATTCTTAGTTTTCTTGTCTGTTAAGTAGAAGATACTGTTACTTACCTCAGCCTCCCAAAGTGCTAGGATTGCAGGGTGAGCCATAGTGCCCAGCCTTTTTGTTTTTTTAACCTTTTAAAAAGGTATTTAGCATCTTACGTAGCATCTACTAAGAGCAAGAAATATTAGTTTTTGTTGTTATTATAATGGGCAATGTGAGGTGGAGGGAGGTGGGGGATGAAATTCTTGGTTGAAAGAATAGCCAGAAGAAAATAATCTCTTTTTTCCTCACTTTAGTTGATTCATTCATTCAACAAACCTCTGTTGAGTACCTACCTTGTGCCAGGTTGTCTTGTGCTAGGTATTGGAAGGGGGACAAGGGAGAGGTAAGACAGATGAACACAACACAGTCTCTGCTGAAGGAGGTCACCCCCTTGTACCCTGGGCTTCAGTTAGCTAAAGTCCTTTGCCCATATAGTAAATACTCATTGCCGTCCTACTCCAAGCCAGTCTCAAGGACACAGAGTTGAATCAGATGCTGTTTCTTTCCGCAGGAAACTATAGAGTACTGGGGAAACATCCATTTCAGGACAGTGTGATTGATGGTGTAATTAAGGTAGATACAAAATACTGAAGAAATTTTCAAGGAACTGCAAATCAATAACAGGAAAAATAAAAAAACAATGACAAGAAACCCAATAGAAGGCCGGGCGCAGTGGCTTACGCCTGTAATCCCAGCACTTTGGGAGGCCGAGGCGGGTGGATCACGAGGTCAAGAGATCGAGACCATCCTGGTCAACATGGTGAAACCCCGTCTCTACTAAAAAACTACAAAAAATTAGCTGGGCATGGTGGCACGTGCCTGTAATCCCAGCTACTAAGGAGGCTGAGGCAGGAGAATTGCCTGAACCCAGGAGGCGGAGGTTGCGGTGAGCCGAGATCGCGCCATTGCACTCCAGCCTGGGTAACGAGTGAAACTCTGTCTCAAAAAAAAAAAGAAAAAAAAGAAACCCAATAGAAATGTGGCAAAGTACTTATGATACCTAATCCAATTAAAAAAGTAAAAAAAAAAAAGTGGCAAAGAATATAGATAACCTTTCATGGAAAGAGAAGTTCAAGTGGCTAACAACTGTAGTAATTGTGGTCTAACCTCTTAATCAGAGAAATGCAAATTAAAAAGTCTAACAGTGTTTGGTGGAAATAAGTCTATAGATGCCCTGTGTAGTATGTGAATATATATATGCCCTACGGGTGTATATCCCAGAGAGAGTCTTGTCATAGGGTCCCAAAGAGACACACGTTCAGTGTTACTCATCTTGGCATAACTTGTAGTAGTGGGACATTGGCGGCAATGTAGATGGCCACTACTGGGGAAAGCATAAGTCAAATGAATATAAAAACTGGAATACTGTGTAGGAATTCACAGCAAGAACTAGATTTATGGGCAGCAATCGTTAACTTACAAACCTGGTATTGACTGGAAAAAAATAAAATTTATAACACAATAGGTTTGCTTAAATTTTAGAACTATGACATTTTACAAGGATGTGCGTTTTTAAGGAATGCGTGTGTGTATGTCACTTTGTGGTGCATGTTCACAGTAGGAAAGGTAATGGGAATGGAAACTGGGTATTGAAACAAAGGGGACAAGGGAAGGGTCTTGCCCAGGCAGTGATAAGTGTGTTATGAACTGTGGGATATGATTAACTCACCTCTGCATCAGAAGTCTAAAAAGGGTGGAACCCAGCAAAGTGTAATAGAAACTAGGAACCTGTTCAGAACCATCAGGAAAGGTTTTACAAAATAGGGAGTGATGACTGGAGACCTGAAGAGTGAGTAGGATTTAGCCAGCCAGGCAGCGACAGAAAAAGAGAATTCCAGGCAGAAGAACAGCATGCTTGGAGGTGTGAGAGCATGCCTTGTTCTGGGTGCTAAGTAGTTTTGAATGTCTGGAGCATAAAAGCAGGGTCAGGAAGAAGGCGGGAGTGATGAAGAGGTCAGCAGGGACCAGATCATAGAGGCCTTTATGAGTCATACTTAGGAGACTGGACATAAAATTGCATAGCTCAAAATTATAGAGTTAGTTGCATTTCATTTGGATTATGGTGGCTAATAGGTTTAAGCTGCTAGCATGACATCTGGCAGCATCTGTCATACCATATTGGGAGTTGGACAGGGCAATTGGAAGTTAGTCCTGCCTGGCCTGCCAGTACCTGTGTATACTGGTTGCATACTCTGAGTTTCTGAAGAGATGGAGAGGAGGACAATAGTAGTAATCTAGTATTTTCTCCATGTTTTTGTACTATCCAAGTTCTGCCCTTTAAGAGGTTCTGGGACTTTGGGGCAGAGGTTGGGATGTTGTACTTCAAGCCCTTGGGCAAAAGTGAGCTGAGTTCAGTCAATATACCTGGTGATAATGGTAACTAAAATCGATTGAGTAGTTATCGTGGACCTGGTGTGGTTCTAAGGACTTTATGCATATTAACTCATTTAAAAATCTCCCAATACCCCTAAGATAAGTACTATTATTACGTCCATTTTCCCAATGAGGAGACTGAGGCCTGGAGAGTATAACCAACTTGCCTGAATCACACTACCAGTAAGTGGCAGAGTTGAGATACCAGTCTTCTTAATCCACTGCATTATATTGCAATGGTGGTATACTAGAAATAGCCCAGATTTTGGTGTTAAATCTGGGTTTAAGTCTCACGTGTGCCATTTACTAGCTTTGTGGCCTTGGGCAAGGTCTTTTATGTCTTGGCCTAAGTTTCCTCATTTGTAAAATTAGGATAATAATGCCTACTTGCAGAGCTGTTGATTAGAGGATTAAAGATAATGTATGTAAAGTACACAGAAGCTTAATAAATAGCAATTACCATAGCTGGTGGATTCAGATGGACTCTTCTATGCCTCCTTGTAGGAACGTGGAGGATGCTGGGGTCTCCAGTGTTTAAAGTGGGGATAAATAAGGTTTGGCCAAATCTTCCCTGCCTTGTGCCATGTCCACAGGGCTAGGCTGAGGAACTCAGCTTCAGAGGACCGTTTTATGTTCATATGGATGGATGAAGCAAGCTGTGACTGAAAATCAGTAACTCTGTGTCCCCAAGCCCTGGGTCTGGTTTCTCTTTCTTTCCACAGTTGGATTTTATGCATTGGTTATCTCTGGCTGATGAGATTATGAGTGATTCTCCCCCTACCTTTATACACAGTTTGGAGTTTGAGAATCAGAAGACTCGCTTGGGCATTCAGTTGGATTTTGAAAAGAACCAACTGAAGGAGGATCAGGATAAAGTACACATGTGGGAGCAGACAGTGAAAAAGGATGAAAATGAGATAGAAAAGCTCAAAAAGGTAAGGAAGGAATTAAAAGACTAATAACTGGGAGGAAAAATGGGAAGAAATGACAGGGATAATGTCTACAACTTAGAAATTTCTCATTTAAATCAATAAGAGAAACACCAAGACCTAAACGGGAAAAATGGACAAGTGTCACAAACAGCTCAAGAAGACATTCAAATAGTCTCTAAACACATACAAATGATTTAGTGTTACTGAAGAAATGCAAATTAAAGCAATAGTCAGATACAGTTTGTTTCCTATCACATCACAGAAAATGTGAAAACAAAGGACAATGCTTAATACCAGCCATGGTATAGGAGACCAGTATTCTTATGTAATGTGGCACCATCCTTCAAGAAGCTTCAAAATGCATTTGTACGCTATAACTCAGTAATACCTGAGGAGATTATGCATAATTCTGGCAAAGCTTTATGCAAACACTTTGATGTTTATTATAAGCATTTATAGTTCCAAATTGGAAACTACTCAGTGTCCCTTGGAAAGCGGGAATTTAGCAAATCATGCTACACCTGTAAAATTATTTATGTAGTGTAGTGGTCTGCAAACTTTAGTAATACACAGACCCTTTTTAAAGGAAAAATATTCCCTAAGATTGCCAGTGTTGCCTCAAATCTGTGATTTACTTAAGTATATGCAAGTATATATACTTAGAACACTTAACCAAACGCTAAGACAAACTTTAAAATTAAATACTAACAAAATGAGTAAAATTTAGATTAACCATGTAAATTCAGTGTGACAAATAATGATGTATTGCTGAAACCTAGTCACTTTACAGTGTGACTATGCTACTGACTGTTACAGCTCAGTTCTTTTGAGTTTAGCATGCCTGTGCCACCATGTATTGTGTGATGACTCAATTTTCTCACACTCTTTCTCTTTAAACTACTATGAAGCCTTTGTGCCTTACGGCATTCCCTCCTGAGGTGATTTGGTCTTCTCTTGGTTTGAATTTATTGTTTCACTTGTGTCTGCCTATGTTTGTTGCTTGTTTGTGTGTTTTCTTCATTAATCTCTGATGATTAAAGTAGTCCTCTTTGGTGTCTGAAATCTTTTCTTTTTTGAGATGCGGTTTCGCTCTTGTTGCTCAGGCTGGAATGCAATGGCACAATCTCGGCTCATTGCAACCTCTGCCTTCTGGGTTCAAGTGATTCTCCTGTCTCTGCCTCCTGAGTAGCTGGGATTACAGGCACCCATCACCATGCCTGGCTAATTGTTTATTTTTTTTAGTAGAGATGGGGTTTCATGATGTTCGCCAGGCTGGCCTGGAACTCCTGGCCTCAAGTGATCTGCCCGCCTCGGCCTCCCAAAGTGCTGGGCTTATAAGCGTGAGCCACCGCATCTGGTCTGGTGTCTGAAATCTTAAATGCAGTTGTAGCTTGGGCAGTAAAATCCTGAGGCAAGACAAGTTGGATATCCAGATGGTTTGGGATATTATACATGTATAATTTTTTTACTTTTTACTTTTGAAATAGTTTTCAACTTTGCAAAAAATTACAAGAAATAGTACAAAGAACTCCTATCTGCCCATCACCAAGATTCATCGATCCGCATTATCTTTTGCATTCTCTCTCTCTCTCTATATATATATGTGTGTGTGTGTGTGTATATATATATATGTATATATGCTTATTATTTTTTATGAGACATGTGGGAGTAAGTTGCAGATATGTCCCCTTTAT